GTGTGTACCGTCAAATCAGATCTGACTGGTAGAGAAAGAGATTGACCCTCCTTCTCCAGCAGAGCATCTGGTGAATTTGAACTGTATACCTCTGGTATTTCAGAGCAGCTTCTTGCCACTAGGCCACCAGAGCTCCCCAATTTGTGTAACTTTTTAAAACATTGTTACTCTAAAGTGTGTACTCTTGTATACACTGAGGTATATGGTCTTATAGCTACATGTACAAGAACAAGGTGCGTTAGGATTTTAAACATTCCTTTAACAGAAATCTGGTGATCTGTCACTTATTATGAATAAACAAGGATGACTGAAGGAAGCTTTGGTAGCCTAATGGAAAGAAGCTGCACTGTAATCCCAAAGGCACACAGTTTGAATCCACCAACAGCTCCTTGGGTGAAGGATGGGCAATCTCCTCCAGTGAAATTAACTCCCTCCAGAAACTGGCCAAGGGTCAGCTATGGATTGCCTCTGACTTGATGGTACACAACAACAATAACAACAATATTCTCTTCTTTATTAGCATAAGTAATTTGGAATGAAAATAAGATGACACTTTGGTAAAATTCCTTGAAAAGGAATGTTCATTAAAGGCTTACTAGGGTAGGCTTCAGAGCTGTGGTGCATAGAGTCATTCTGAGTTACAGTTTAATAGGTTGGCACGTAACAACAACAACAAAATGAATCAAAGAGGACCAGGTGTTTTAGTTTAAGGAACTGCACTGCCAACCTGAAGGCACATGGTTCTAATCTACCATCTGCTCCACAGGAGAAAGATGGGCAGTCTCCTCACATGTGATTTTCTGCCTCTGAAAACTTGCTAGGGGTCAGCTATGTGTAGATTCTGACTTGAAGGTGGTACATAGCAACAACAAAAGTGAGAGAATGGAAAAAGAGTGGATCTATAATAATGTTTCTCTGGAACAGACAAGGAGAGGAACTGAAAGGAAAATATAATTGGGCATTATTTGTCTGACAACAATCTGCAACAATGAGTACATTTACACAATGGAAGAAAATGTCCAACAATGAAAAAAATACTATTTCTTTTAAAAAGTGAATAAGAATGTTGAGATAGAAGTTTCTTTTTTTATATGTGATTTAATAGTGATTGTAACATTTAAAATTTGTTCTGTTAGAATTCATTGACATAAGTAGATTGTTTATAGTAGAAATAGATTTTTTTTTCCATACGTTGATTTAATTTGAAACAAAAATACTTGGGAAAAATTTGTATTCTTATGATATACCTAAAAGTTTGTGTTTGGTTCTTTTTTGTTGTACTTTAAAAAAATTATGTTGAATAACAACAAACAATAAGTGTTGGCTAGGATGTGGAGAGATTGGACCTCATATACACTGTTGGTGGGATTGGAAACAGCCCACATGCCCAATCACGAACTAATGGATAGAGAAACTGTGGTCTCTTCACACAATGGAAAACTATGCAGCACTCAGGAACAATGAAGTATTCATAAAATATGACACAAGAGAGTGCCTAGGGGGCATTATGTTGAGTAAAATAAGTCATCAAAGAGTAGATATTACATAAGACCACTACTGTGTAAATATGAGTGGCCAGGGGGTAAGGGACTGGTGAAAACAGAGCTAGAACAATATAAAGGTCCAGGACAAGGAAGGATCAATTTGGGAAGGATCTGACAAGATCAAGGTGGCTACTGCATTTAGCAAGTAGGAGCGAGGTAACTATAATTGTTCAAAAGAGGAAGGGAAAGTGGGGAGAAGACAGGAGGGAAAATCAGTAGCACAACAGAGATTAGTAGGCAGATTTTGGGGTGTCAAGGAATAGAAAAGTTACAGTGGGGACTTGAGAATGATGGGTAAAAGTTACAGATCAATAGTAGTTGATTCTTGAAAACAGAATATGAATATTAATTATGGAAAACACAGTGTATATAATAGAAACACAATGTATGTGAATAACTATGGAAATAAATAAAATAAATTAAAAAATTTTCAATACTTAGAATATATGTTGTTTGGTGGTGGTGGTGGTGGTGATTGCTGTTGAATCAAGCATGACTCATAGCAACCCTGTGAACAAAGGACCTGAAGCTTTTCTGTAACTATTGTTTCTTCAGGTTCACAGAGTTTCCAGAGACATGCTGTTTGGGAAGTGGATGCCATTCCCTAATATGTTTAATATTTTGTGAGCTTATTGGATGGTTAAGAGCACAGACTTTAGAGGGAGACAACACTAGGTCCGTGAGTTTAACTCATATTTACCACACATATGCTGTGGAAATTTAGACAAGTTACTTAAAGTCGTTGAAGTTATTTCATTTTAAAAACAAATAGATAAAGGGAGCTCTGGTGGCCTATAGGCAAGAAACTGTACTGCAATCCCAAAGGCATGTAGTTCAAAACCACCAGATGCTTCACTGGAGAAGGAGGTGCAATCTCCTCCTATGCCAGTCGGATCCAGTTCAGCAGTACACAAGAAAGGGGGGCTAGGGAGAAAAAGAAAAGAAACTCCTTTAAAAAAAAAATAAGAGTTGATAATAAATTTTTAAAAACCCAACAAATAATAGCCTACTTTGTAAAATTGTCATGATAATTAAATGTGATGTAACTGTATTTTTGAATTGCTTTCAACTCATAGCACCCCACTAGGTACAGCATCCAGCACCCCACCATCCTTGAAACTATTTTTATGTTTGTGTGCATTGTTACAGCCATTCTGTCAGTCCATCTTGTTGAAGGTCTTCCTCTTTTTTTACTGCCCCTCTACTGAATCATGCACTAGGTCTTTCTCTAAGGACTGATCCCTCTTGATAATATGTCTCACCTTCTTCTTGTTGAAAGAACATTGTGGTTGTGCTTAATAAGAATTAATGAAGATTTACCTTGGTACTTGGCTCATGGTACTCAATAATATTAGCACAAACAAAACAAAGCAGGTTTTACTTAATAAAATTACACATATTATCTGTCTTTTCCCCTTTTGTCATTTAGATCTAAAGGCATCATTTAAAAATATCAGAATCTTAATATTTTTGTTAATCACTCTCTAATTTCATTTATCAGCAATTATGTAACAAGTTTCCCTTTTTCAGTAAAAATAATTGTTGAGTGTAGTTGTTTTTCAAGTCTGATGGTTAGGTGGTTGTCAGCCATTAGAGAACATGCTCATTTCTGCTCAGTTATTGTGAGTGTAAACAAAGGATGAATAATTCAAAGTCAAGAAGCATTCCACATGGATGATGGAGGTGATAATAGCTTAATTCCTCTGGATCTTTTTGGTCTTTGCTCTGGTGAATTCATATTGACCTTGTCCAAAAACTGCTGACCTCCCCATTTTACTCAACTGTTTAGAAAGCTTGGCTTGCTGTAGATGGCCCTGAGGGGTTATCTGAGAGACCGCTGAGCCACTGACCCATGTCAAGACTGGATTTTAAGTCTGATCTGCAGGGCCTCTGAAATAGTTATATGTGAAGTTTATTGAACACAAAAGCCTTGCCATCTGCATTTTCCCCCTGCTGATTATTAAAATATATTTAGAATGTCCTTATTAAGGTCAAATATTTAAATCACTCCGTTTCTTAAGCAAGTCATTTTCTGAATGTTGTTATACACTTTCTCTTTTTCAGTTAGTACCTTAAAACTAAACCTGAATGTCTTTAAACGTGGAGTAATATTGTTAAACCATGGTTGTGTCTGATGAATCCTTTTCCTGGCTGATGGAAGAACCAAAGCAACAGCATATTAATACTTGTATTGTAAAAATGTTGGTATTTTCTCAGAAAAAGTTCCCTATACCTCAAGGAAAATCTTGCTTATTATATCACTCTTAATACATTTCAATTATTTCTGTGTAAATCTTCTTAGACCTCCAATGTTACTAAAATTATTTAAACATTTTGGGGTTATGCACCTTGAAAAAGAGCCTATAATTTTCCACTAAGATACTTATAAATTTTGTGTGACTGAGATATCCCTTAATAAAAATTTTTGTCAGAACTGTGATTAAAGAAATGGAAGAACATTTTCTTTGGGTTTGTTTTGGGTTTTGTCTCTATAAGAGTTGATCTGGCACTTAAAAATATGTCTATCAATTATCCTACAATTTATACCATGATATCTTTTCTTTTTATATAGGAATTGATCCCTGAATTTTATTATCTTCCTGAGATGTTTGTCAACTTCAATGGTTATAATCTTGGAGTGATGGATGATGGGACAGTAGTGTCTGATGTTGAACTTCCTCCTTGGGCCAAAACCTCAGAAGAATTTGTTCGCATAAACAGATTGGTAAGATAGTAATCGTCTACTCTGTCATGAGTCTATTCTCAAACTTCTTTCATGTATTGGTGTGTTATCATTAACCCTTGCTCTTCTGAACAAAACTGTAGTAACTTCGGTGAGTAAAAGTGTCATAATTCATGAATGTCTGAATATACTCCATAAAAATTTATAAACTTGGGTGGTATGATGGTTTATTTTATTAGGTTTTTGTTTTTTTTTTACAGAATTTAGTTTACTTTCCTGTATACATGATAATTCAATTTTAGGAGTGAAATGAGAATTGCTTTTTTGAAACACAAGCTTCTCCTCCCAAGAAGGAAATACAACTATATATTCCTGTTTAGAAAACAATTACATATTTTCTGACAGAAACATGGTTCTCATTTCATACTATATCCTCATGTAGTATTTTATGAAAATTTAAATATTTTCAAGCAAAATCCAATATACTTAAAAGCTCAGGAACGATGGGGCTTATGATCAAGTCTCTAGTACTGTTGGAGGACTCTTTTTTTAAAAAAAATATTTCTTTTGAACTGGTTTACTTAAAAAGTTCATATACATTGTTTCCACACAGAATCTTTCCCATTTCCTTTACCCACCACTACCTCTACCCATCAAATTGTGTATAGAGTTGCCCATAGTTACCTCTCTGCTCCCTCCCTACCTTGGATCCTCATACATGGTTTACTAGTGATCATTCGGTTTCTACAATAGTGGTCTTATACAGTATTTCGCCTAATGCAACTGAGTTCACTTTGCATAATGCTTTCTAGTCCCTCCCAAGTTGCATAATGATTTTAAAAACCATTGCTCTTGCATGCTGCTTAGTATTCCATCGTGTGAATGCACCATAATTTCTTAATCCATTCGATTGTAGTTGGGCATTTGGGCTGTTTCCATGTTCTTGCGATGTTGAATAATGATTCTATGAACATTGATGTATAAACCTTTGTGTCTCATTTCTCATTTTCTTGGGGTATATTCCAAGCAGTGGAATAACTAGGTCATAGGGAATTTCTTTGTTCAGCTTTTTGAGGAACTTCAAACTGCCTTCCAGAGTGGTTGTACCATTTTACAATCCCATGTTGATAGACTCTTTTTTTCCACTCTTGTAAGTTTCATTAAAAATATAAAACGCTTCACGAATTTTCATGTCATTCTTGCACAGGGGCCTTGCTAATCTTCTCTGTTCCAGTTTTAGTGTCTGTGCTGCCAAGCGAGTACTAGTGAACTCTCTTACTGCAATCTAATACATGGGTGTTGTGTTAACTCTGTGAGGAACTTGTTCCCTTTTCAGTTTCAAAGAAATTTGGAATCAAGGAACTTTAGTGTTACGATAATTTAAAAGTATAATTTTACCGTATTCTAATTTTTTAAATGGAACATCAATTACATTTTTAAATAATTTTACAGTTAAGCAGTGAAAATTGCAGTATTTTGGTTTTCTAAGTGATTTTCTCTTTTGTTTTAAATTACTTTTTAAGCTGATCTAATCTTATCTGTAACTGTAGTTATAGTCTTATACTGAAATTTTCATTTTACATATATATCAAAAACAATGCAGAAGATTGTAAAGATCCTAAGAACATAGGCTTTGGATTTAGGTTGTATATACCCGTCTTGGATCAATTATATTTTCAGGGAACTGTAGGAAATTTAACCTTTTCAAACCTTGTTTTTATCATTTGTAATTTAGAAATTGTGAGTATGAAATTGCAATTATGTACATAAAATACCTAGAATATTATCTGGCTTACCTTGGCAGATGGTTCCTATTATTATTTTATCACAATCTTCTGATATGCTGCATTTCATTTTACTCTCAAGAATTTTTAAAGATTCTCAGTAAGTAACTGTGGCTAAAGTGAGAACCCAGCATGAAGGTTAGCCCTGAAAGTATCTGAAGGAGATGTCAAACTTTTTATAGTTTGTATGTGATTATGTCTACCCACCTTAACGGTAGACAGAGGTGAATTTAAAGTACCTTCATTCATTAATCTTTTCTTTTACTTTTTTTTTCTTCTTTACTTTCATTGATTATCTACATTTTGTAAACAGCTTTATTGTAGTAATTTATGTTCAAATATACAATCTAATACATTTTATTAGGTTTATATAATTATGTCACTACCATCAACTTTAGAACACTTGTATCTCTCTATAAAGTCTTCTCATGTCTTCAGTATCTGTTTCCATTCCCAGCTACAGGCAACCACTGATTTTCTCTGTAATTTTTCTTTTCCTAGAAATTTTATATTAATGGCATCACATGATAGTCCCTTCTGTTCCTGATCTTTGAGATTGCACATATTTTTGAGGTTCCTCTTTGTTGCACCTACAAGTTGTTCATTTCTTGATGTTGTTACATAATATTCCATCTGGTTGGGATGAATTCTCTAAACCTTCTAGGGGGAAAAGGCAACAATTTACAAAATTATTTTCCAATCAGATCTGGTTTTGGATTGCTTATCCATTACACTGAATGACTATGAAATATTTAAAGATAATATTTTACCATATTAATTCTTACTATATTAACTCTACCTTTTATTATGACTTATGTTGTTTATTGTTTTACCAGTGAAGCTTAATCTTACATGTTTTGGAGATGTCTTCATTCCCAAACAGTATCATATGAAAATTCACTTCCAATTAAATGCAAATTTTCTGAGTTAAATGATTTTATTTATATCCAATAACTTAAATTCATAATTAGAAAAGAGACCTTATTTTACTTATTATGTTTTTGTGAAACAACTTAATAACTACATTTATTCTGTAAAAAAAAAGAAAATGTACATCCGAACCAAAACAGTAAATGTTAAAGCATTTCCATAGTTGAGGTCAATTGGTTAATTTTATAATTTCCTGTTAACTTTGTATAAGTGACTAAATTATTAGTGTGGCATTTCTGTATTTGTTAGCATGTTATCACATAAGAGTTTTGTCCCCTCCTCCTTTTGGTTTCCTCTTCAAGTCCACAGATTTTATGCAATGATTGTAGCTCATGAAATGCATACTACTTTGATCTGTGACCTTTTTGTGGTGCTAATCGGGTTCCTGATATCATTATACCTTACTCATTAATCATATTTCCTGCAGCCCGTCAGGCAGCCAGACAGCCCAAGTCCCTGTTTTCAGCCCTCTGTTGGCAGGTTTCTGCTTTTCCAGATTATTACAGACGATACTTTGGCTTCTCATAACCAGAGCCACATCAAGCTGTGTGTTACAATTAAAGTCAGATGGTCCTCAGGTTGAGCAGGGATATAGTGTTGCAGCTGCCTCTCTTCCTGGAACAAACTATCACCAAGAACAGATGATCTATAGGACAGTGAATAATAACAGATTGTACAGTACTCGCTTGGTAGCAGGGGATCACAGGATTAATTAACTGACATACTCATTTTAAGATACCCAGCTTGTCTTTTTTAAAGTATTGGTAGCACACATGTTAATTCAAAAGGATAGGATATTCTGAGAAACATGATTTTGCTACTGCAACTTTAATGGTGCATTTTCCATTTGTGTTAGTTAGTAAACCATAGCTATCCTACTTAGCCATTTTTATTCTCAGAGATTTAAGTAAGTAATAAAGATCTAAGTGTAGAGTTGGTAAATTTGCTAAGTAGTGGATTTATGTATAGAAGATAAATATCCTACATAGTATAGAAAGAAGTCCTTGTGTAAGAAACTCACCTACGTCCATTTAATTTTACAGAAAAACAAATTACATTTTCTTTGTTCTGAACAGTTGTAATTCGGGTAAAATGAGAACAGACCTCTCATGCCAGAGATTAGTCTGTGTTTTATATTTTTTTAAACATCTTCAAAATATAAATAAGGAACAGGCTTTTCATACTTTTGAAAAATCTGTGTATGAATTCATAATGCTCATCACTGTGCAAAGAAAACTCTTGTAGTACTTGACTTTTACATTGATTCAGAAGCAAAGAAAACCATATTCTGATACAGTTTCAGAAAGCTGATGGAGTGAAACATTGTGTTTTTGGTGGAGAAAGTTTAATATCTTTAAATTACAATCACAATAGTTCATTCATTTATCATGTAGCTATTGAATGCTGTTTGTACATGAGTACCACTGCATTCTGTGATCAAGACAGACACTGTCCCACCCTTGGAAGTCATGCCCTCTCTGATAACTAGACTCTTGTACTAGAAACATCTTAGAGTTGAAAGAATCTATCAACCTATTAAAAGTAAATTTCTGTTGGTGAATTATCCTTAGATTACCAAGTAGAATGACAGTTGGCTATTTGGTATCTTCTAAAGCTTTTTTCTTCTCTACTATTTCATGATGATGATTTAAATAATCACTTGCTTATAAAGGTAGAGAAAAATAAAATTAGTGTGTTGTCTTCTTTCCATTGCCATCTGAGAATATAGATAAATTAAGAGATGTGCTGTTTTTTATGTTCTTGAATGAAGAGAGAAAAGAAAATTTTCAAATTTTGTTTCTTCAACCATTTTTCTTTATTATGAAAATTTGAATATATGAACATTCTCCTTAAACCTTCATAGATTTTGTAATTCTGAATAAAGTTGGAGTTTTTCCTTTAAATGGACAGTTTACAGTCATCAGATGATAGCTATTATTGTTAGGTGCTGTTGAGTATGACTCAGAGTGACCCTATGAACAAAAGATACGAACCTTCTCTATCCATGTGCCGTCCTCACACTTGGTGACTCAGAAGAGCCCATTGCAGCAAGGGATGGCAGCCAGCACAGGTAAACTAAGAACCCATGTCCTGCAACAAAATATACAAAATATGCATAGGAAATCCTATAGTTTGAGCAAGCTGTGTTTGAAATGATAACACAATTAGATGGTTTTAATGGCATATTATGTCTGAACTTACAGTGTTCAGCACAGTGTAAGATTGAGGTTTTATTGATAGCTGAATGGGGTTTTATTATTTTTTTAAACTTTTATTCACATCATCATTTTAGTTTTTCAGATGAATAGTATTTAAAAGTTAAGTTCT